GTTTTTAGTAATGAAATGAGACATGATCTGATATTAGGAATCAATATCTATACATGTGTATATTCTGAGGTCCCTAAAAATAAAGAATAAAATTAGCTATCCTTCAACATCTGTTAATATTTCTGAGATGAGGTATTGTAACTATTTACATTGTTTGAACTGTTGTCCTGATCTTTACTGTCACATTCATGATGTTTTAGTCATTGTATGCATCTGCCTTCTTCAGGTGAATTTGTTGGAATTTTGAACTGAAATCTTTATTTAACCAAGGGGGTAGATTGTTCTAATTCCATGTACCCTGCCTTTGGATATCTCAGTTTTTAGTTAATTTGCCTTGATAACTCTAAGTTTTTTGTTCTCTCCACTGAGACCAGGGATTGAACTCAGAACTCTTTGGATCAAGTCACTGTTTGGATGAATCAACCAATGCTTTTATCCACAGGGCCATGTGTCTTTTGAAGAAGACCAGAGTGTATAATGGCCTAAACATTGTGAATGTGATGGTAAAGATAAGGACAACAGTCCAACCAATGTAAATAATGTAAATTAGCTATCCTTATTTCTTAATCAAATATTGATGATATGTAAGTATATTTTTAGAGTTATTTTTCATCTTCTCTGAGTGAATAAATATGTGTGTGTTAGAACAGTTTATAACATATTATTCAGAGATACATTTCTCTCATTGCTAGTTTATGAATGATCTTTTTTGGCTAATCAAAGTAAATTTATTAAGTGAATTGAAATATAGTGCTGAAATTTTAGCTTTATAAAAGCAGTGACAATTTAAAATTTTCTTCTTTTCAAATTGGACAAAATATCTGTGCATGTTAAGAGAAAGGGACTCTAATAAATAACTTAAACATTCATGAAGCAAAAGAAAAATAAAACTATTATTGTTAAAAATGTTAAAAAATAAAATGCAACTAAAAAAAAACCCTTACTAACATTTTTACTAAAACAGAAAGATTTCTATAATTATTTTCTGCACCACTGATTAAAGAATGATTGATTGTTATGTTTTCACAACTTATTAATTCTTTGTCAGTTATTTAAAGCCAAGACATATTTTGGATTTTAAGAATAATTCTTTATTGTGAGTGCATATTGCATTATCAGTTTTTGAGAATAACAATGATTTTTCCAGATACAACTACTACTATTTAGCCTATAGCTGGGGGAAGAGATAGATTCATACATTTCTCAAGAGTATTTGTGCATAAGTGAATGTAACATACCTGACTGGAATTTGAAATCTCAATAAATAATGAACTTAAGACCAAATTTATACTGACAAAATGATGATGTAGTTAACTAATATTTAGTAAAAAAAAAAACAACTTTAAATCATTACCCATAAAAATATATATATAAATCATATCAAAAAATGTTTTCTTTAATACTGTAGAGCTGAAAAAAATAATTTCAATTTGAGATAATAAAAAATACTTCTAGTTTTAATGTTTTTATATAACTAATTTTATTATTATAGAGCCCCAAATGTAACAATTTCCCTTTAAGAACTATTTTGTATGCTATTTTTCTTTAAAGAGGAGTTGATAACAAAGAAACTAATTCTTGGTTACTTTTACACTTTAGGTTTTATCTAGCTGTTGCTCAAAGTCATAAAGTTACATTAATTATAAGTTTTAAGTGGATAGGATTCCAGAATTATTTCTTTATTATGGAAATAATTTTTTTTTATTACAGTAAGGTTCATTCTTTACAAGGCCAAGGAGCCACTCAAGGTAGAGGGTTATGTTTGGTGGCCATTTGTGTGGAAGATAACAGTTAACCCTTATCTTAGACAGGTCAAGATTGTAGTGATTGGTGAAAAATCCTGTTGGAAATTAGTTCCACAGGGCAATGGTTCATGGAAAGAAGCTGCTTAAGTGGACCTTATGTCTCACTGATCAATACAGAGGGTAGTTTGTTACAATTATGTCTGATTCTAATTTGACTATCAAATAGACCAGATTCTGATGTAATTCTGTCCAGGCTAGTTATTGATATTTATTATGCTTTGCTTATACAAGGAGAAATGGGTGTAATATAAGAACCCACAATGAATGCAGAGAAAAATGGGTCATATAGTGCATGGTAAATAACCAGGTAATAGCCAACCCAAGAAAATCCAAGACGATTATGGACATGGAGAAGACCAGGAGGAGAAACTAAAAACCAAATCGGCTACATAACTACCAACAAAAGATTCAGGAATGCAGTTGTTCACTGCAAAACCTATCCAGTGTTGACTGCAGAAGCAATCACCTCCTTGTTATATGTAAACTAAGAATGAAACTACAGAAACTGAAGAAGACTAACATCGGACCCAAATAACAATACAAGACTCCTGAACAACCAGGACCTGAAGGGAAATATGGACAGTGTGAAATGAAGATACAAGGTACAAAATGGGAATGGAAACTTGAAGTGGGACACACTAAGAGAAGCTTTAGTGACATCAGCATACAGGGTCATCCCAAAGGAAAATGGATGAAGAAGAAAAAATAACAAATGGATGACAAATGAGATTCTTGATATGATGCAAAGGAGACAGAAAACAATGCCAAGGCACAGAACAAAATACAAAAAACTACACAAATAAATAAGGAACAAATGCAGACAGGCTGAAGAAGAATGGCTCAATGAAAAATGTGCAGAAATAGAAAATGATTATCACAGATAAAGGAAATGTGCATAAAAAAATAAGAGAACTAACAGTACAAAAGACATGCTCATCAACAGGCTGCATAAAACCCAAGGATGGAACACTGATATTAGAGAAAGAGAAAATACTTCAGAGATGGAATGAATATATAGGAGAACTTTTCCATGACAAAAGAGAATAACCGGCAATACACAGAAATACTGACAGACCAGAAATATTAAAAACCGAAGTGAAAGCTTCAGTGGCCAAATTGAACAGGAACAAAGTGGGAGGCACAGACGGGATTGTAATAGAGATGCTGGCAACCTTAGACAACTTCGGCATAGACAAGATCACAGAAATAATAAATGGAATCTACAACATTGGGGATATACTGGAAGACCTAAGCTGATCTATTTTCATAGCACTGCCTAAGAAACCAGGCACAAATGAATGTGAACTCCACTGGGCAATCAGCCTAACAAAACTTAATATCTTAATTCTGATGAATAGTGTGCAGCAGAATCAGGCCAGAGATAGGACAAGAACAGTGTGAGTTCATCAAAGACATCAGAACAAGAACGCAATATTGATGCTCAGAATGTTATCGGAAAAAGCAATACAAATGCAGAAGTATGTGTACCTGTGTTTTATAGACTATGCAAAGGTGAGTGTGCCACAAAGATCTGTTAGAACTGCTTGGCAATCTTGACATATTTGGGAAAGACATTAGGGGTGTAAGACAGGGATGTGTCTTCTCACCAGATTTATTCAACTTATACAGTGAGGCAATTCTGAGAGAATTAGAGGTCCAATCAGGATTCATTACTGGTGGCTACAATCTTCACAATATAAGATATGCAGATGATACAGTGCTGATAGCAGACATTGAAAGTGCTGATAGCAGACATTGCAAAAAGACAAATTGAAAATAATACTAAAAAAGGCACAAAAATTTAAATATCTGGGAGTGAAGGATGAAAGTGTGACACTGAGATCCAAAGAATAAAGGACATTTAAACAGAATTTAAGAGACAGAAAGATTTCAGAATGAACATGATATCTGTCCTCCTGGTTATCTGGACAAAAATGGCTGAGACCAGAATGGCAAATAAGTGAAGCTTGAGTAAATGGATGGTGGAACAGGGTTTTTATTAAAATTATCACAGGGGTGGAGGCCAGATCACTTATGTTCTGAAGGTTTTAACAAACTGATCTCTGACAATAAACATAAATCCATTTTTAAAATAAATTTTTAATTGGGATACAATAATTACATTTTATTTTATTAAAAGGTTTTGAAGAGCTGTTTTAACAAAGATTCTGACAATAAACTAGATCCACTAGCAAAGCCTTTGATTGGGAGATTGGAGGTTTTGATGATTTGTTCCCACGCCCACCCTGACTCAGGGTGTTAGCACCTGTTAGGGTCCCAGCTGTGGCCAAACCCCCCAAACAAAACAAAACACTATAAAAGTATAAAAATAAATTTTGTAGTAAAAATACCAGCAATATATTTTTATATAAAAAGATGACCGACAATACATTTTATAGCAGAATTACTAAAAATAAAAAATTTTATAGCAAAATGGCCAAAAATAAGTTTTATCTGTAGTTGAAGGCATAAAATTGTGTTCAAAATATATTTACTTAAAGCAATAAAATTGTGTTCAAAATATTTAGATTTCAGCATTAAATAACCCATAAAGACTGACGTCCTGCTAAACAAAATCAATCAATCATCCAAGCAAACATGTTGAATTAGTTTACATTACTTACACTGAAAATACTGTCATCATCTTTGTTGTTATTATTACAATTGTTTCATCCACTGTAGTCTCTGGCTTGTCAATCCAGGTAACCCTTCAGGAAATTTTAAACTGAATGCTTTTTTAATGTACAGGGTTAGATTTTTCTCATTTCACTATTTGTGTGTAGTCACATCTTGTCTAGATCTTATTTATTGCAGTTATTGCTCAATGTTTTCACTGCACTACCTGGAGATTGAATTCACAATTACAATTTCACCAAATTCATGAACCAATGCTCAATCCACTAGACTATTTTCAGACAAAAATTATGCTGAACCAAAAAATATTTGATAAAGCATTTTTCTTTTAAATAAGCACTCACTTGATACTCAATACATGTTAAAGTTATGAAGTTATTTTTAAAGGCCACTTTCATTGTAAAGCTGTTATTTTTTTTATTAATATATATTATATATATATATATATATATATATACACATACACACACTTACCTTGAAAAAGATGTAAAGATGCTACAAGCATTCTTTGCACAGACTTGTTTTTAATATCAAAGACAAATGCAAGTAAGTAAAATAGTCTCACCTATTCATATCTTCTCGACTTTCTGTCATAAAGTAGTATGTTCTGGATCCATATTTCTCTGCCTTGAAGCAATAGTCCTTATTGGTGTCCAGGTATCGAGAGATACAATAATTTGCTAGAGGGAATGCACCTAGGGGTGTGTCTTCCTGTATAAATTAAGAGAAATAAATAATGGATAATAATTTATATATTTCTACAAGTCACAAATTTGCTGAGTAAATAAACTCTCAAATGAATTGCAAAAAAGAGAAAGAGCATTTACAAAAAATTGTGTGAAAAAAGGAAATATTTGGAGTAAAAATTCTTTCTGTCTCTGACCCAAGTAGAAAGTAATATCACATAAGGAAAGGAATGTGAGAAACTATATCTAACAAGATTTAAGTATTTTTAGTGAGAAGCAAATGGCTATGAAGGTGAATTGCACACATTAACATTTTATAGCTTTGAAGCAGCACATTATATTATTTTTGTATTTTACATGAAAATAGTTTTATTGCTTCAAGAATAAAAACATTTAACTTCATATGCCCCTGCTGTATTTAAATCATTGGCAAGAAATATTTCCTGATTGATAATATTTAATGAAAGCATTTGTTTATAGTATAAAGGAAACATACATATCTATCTTTGAATAAAAACAAGTTTTCATTTTGTCTTTATTCATATAGTCCTTTTTAGTTCTATCTGAAATTTTATCTATCTATCTATCTATCTATATATATATATATATATATATATATATATAGAGAGAGAGAGAGTTAAAGATCAAATGCAGATTGGAATCCAGAAGGATGATAAAATAAAAGAACAAATAGGAAATGTATATCAAAACAGAAAACAGACAAAAAGACAGAAAACACTAGTATTTTCAATTATATTTGGGTCAGTTCTCATTGGTCACACAAGTGTCATGTGTACTAAAACTGGATAATTCTATGTGTATGTTGGTTTGTGAAGATTTTTGTATGTCTAAGTGAACATCAGATTGTCATGTGTATTTGTAATTTCGTGCATGGGTCTCTCAAGTGGGGTTTTTTATCTTCACTTTTGTGCAGCCAATCTGCACAGTGGGGAGTCACAAGGTTCTAATTTATGGCTCATCTCTTTAAGAATGTATTCTTTGTATTAGATAGTGTTATAAAATAAAATAAGACATACAGGCAAATAAACTAACATACTCGAGAACGAGAGCCGGATGTGAACTGGACAAGACCCCGTCACAAAATGACCTTAAAATTATCTTCATTTACGCATGTTCCCGACACACGAGTTCCGGTCGAAAAATAAAATAATATTTTAAAATGTTTCTATTTTTCGACCAATAAAAATGCTTCCCTCCTAATTATACTCGTTTTTCGAGCCTGTTAAGACATAAAAAAACGCCATAAAAGGGGTCACACAGAAGTATACCGGGTAGTCAACAGGAGGCCAGGGAAGAGACCTGTCACGGTCAGGTTGAGCGGTCAGCAGCAGCCAGCAGCAGTAGCGACACGCCAACCAGCGAGAACTACTATGAGAGATCAACCCAGATTCGAAGCCGGCTTATGAACTTTACCACAAGGTAGCTGTCCCAAACCCACACGTTCCTGTTGAAATAAATCATGTAAATCTATTTCTGCTGTTGTCATATTTCTTTCTTGCAACCATACGCTTGTCTATAACAATATACAAGTTAGATTCTTTTAGAATGGATTAAATGAAAGCTGGCAATGTAATGTAATGTAATGTTTTAAGCATGTGTTTATAGTTGGTAATATTGCTATTATTAAGTTATCAATGTATTTTCTCCTTAAAGAATTATGTTCTTTTTTAATTAGAGTGGCATTAGTGAAATCAAAGTTATGTCCAGCATCATTTTGATGCAAAATGAGAGAGACCAATTGTCCAAATGCAAGTCACTCTTGTGTTTGTAGAAGTCTCCTCCACATAAACTTCTTTGCAATTAATTTGATAAATCCTGGCATTTGAATTGGTGTTGGGTTTATTTTTCTTCCTAATTACATTTCTGATTGTCTTGGATATTTTAGTAATGATCCTAGTATTAGGGATGATCATCGTAAACCCATCTGCACAAAACAAGCTCAACATCATTGTTAACTGGGGCAAAGGATGGCTTTTCAATTTTAACACCTCCAAAACTAAACTTCGCTCTGAGAGACTCCTCTCTACCTTCCATCAGCATGGCTGGTGCTATCCTGCAGGAAAGTGACTCATTGCACCTTCTTGGGCTAATATTCTTAGCTGACATTAAATGGAAAGACTATATTGACTCCATTGGTAAGTCAGCTGCTAAGAAAGTTGGCTCACTGCATCGGGCAAGACAATTCTTCTCTACTGAATCTATTTTGCATACCTATAAGTGTACCATTTGTCTATGCTTAGAATATTGTTGCCATATATGGTCTGGTGCTCCTGTGATTTACCTGCAGCTTCTTGATAAGATCCAAAGAAGAATCAGCAATATTATTGGTCCTGATCTGGCAACTCAGCTTCAGTCACTTGCACACCACCATACGATTGCCTCTCTGTCCATTTTTTTTTATAAATACTTTCATGGTAACTGTTCAGATTAGCTCTTTGCTATGGTATCTAGACTTATGAATTTGTGTGCAATACTAGACTGGTGATGAGATTTTATCTACTTACAGTTGAGCTAGCTAGATGTAGCCTTAACTTCTGTGCTAACAGTTTCTTTTCTCATACTTCTTGCTTGTGGCTCCATGTGTTTTGGAGCCCTTTTGGCTCCATGCTTTCCAGCCAACTTTAATCTGGAAGAATTTAAATGCAATGTCCTCCTGAATGCTTTTTTCTCTTTCTATTCATTACTAATGTTTCTGTTCCTAATTTTCCCACACCCTGTAATCCCTTGCATGTTAGTGGCTGTACAGCCTTGCTTGGGGTGGCACTGATTTAAAAAAAAAAACCCTTGCAAGTGATAGAGTAATATCACCTGCAATACCTTATTTCATATTCAATGTGAAACAAAAGGCTCATAAAATATTCCAAAATAGAAATTGTGGCCCCTCCTAACAAATCCAATGAATCAAAAAAATATATTGTTCCTACACTATCACAGCTACAATCAAAAAGAATTTATCTAAACTCAATATTAAATTTGTCAAAACTCTATCTAAAACAATAAAAGGCTTAATACAAAACAACTTGGAGGAATTTATTCTATCACCAGCAGGAAAGAATATATTGGAGAAACCTCAAGAAGTTTAAATAAAAGATTTTATGAACACAAAAGTGACATTTAAAAAAAAAACATAATAAATGAATTAGTTGTTCAATGTAATGAGATTGACCACAATTTTGATATAAAAATGCTACTCTAATTAAAAGAGAAAATAATTGAAAATGTTTACAAAATGCTTTAATTGCTAGTTAATCCACAGTAAATTTGCATCCAGATTCTTACAGCAGTTCACCATTTTTGGCAGACCTTCTATCATTACAATGTGGGATATTTAATAACAAAAATGATATAAAGGAAAAGAATCTAAATGAAATTAGCTAGATTATGTACTCAAAACACAAAAAAAAATTTTGAAATTTAAAATCCCTAGCATCTCTCATTCGTGCACATGTGTAGTCACATCAGTGTAAACAAACCTAGTCCAATGAAGCCTGAAGGGACAAAACACATCACATGAAAACTTCTTATGATTTTGTCATACGTCTTTCCTCTAAAACTGTTCTTGATATATAAAAATTTATATATTATCCCACACATAAATATATATACATATATATTCTAATGATAAATATTCATCTTGTTTCTTATTATACATCAAGCACAGTTTTATTTCCACCAGATCTAGTATATATATATATATATATATATATATATATATATATATATATTCATACATATATATATATATATATATATATATATATATATATTCCTTTTCTTATGCATATAACAGTGCTCTATTTTAAATTCTTTTTTAAAAGAAATCTCTAATATACATAAACAGTGTTGTAAATGGGTAAATAAAATAAAATTGTTATATAATTTACATTTGGATGAGAATCTGGCAAAATGTTAAATATGTGATAATTTAGATAAAAAAAAAATCATGTCTGGCAAAACATATCAGCATAAAAGTTTTTCACACACACATATACTATCTATATATATATATAGTTCACCAAAATACATGGCATAAAAATGTTTCCTAAATCTTTAGACAGAAAAACTTAGGCCCAATCTATTAGCCTTTAACCATGTAATGTCTTATTTCTCAATAAAAATTATCTTCAATGAAGAATAAGACACTGCTGATCAGAAATATTGGCATAGTGTTGATTCCTTTATTTTGAGGTGAATAAATTTTAAATATTATTGCATCTGAGTTTTTCTTTCATATGGAGGCAATTGTAAGTGTTGGGTGGATGTGTACACGAAGATAAGGTATATTTAAGAATTTACAACAAAATAAAAAATAAAATTAATTACGAGAGAAAAATATAAATCTTAAAATTGTTATTTTCTTTCATGTGAAAAGAATATTAATATAGTAATTAATTAATGACTTATAATTATTTCTTTTTTATTTTACAAATATTCAAAATTAAATATTTTTGTTTAAATATTTACTATCTTATAGAGAGTCTATTTTATCAGAAAATCTTTACAACTGAATTATCTTTGAAATTATTTCCAATAAACTAAAAAAAATAGTGCCAATAATTTCAGTATATGTTTGAACAACAGAAATTTAGAGTGAAAACTTATTGGAATTTTTAAATGAAGTAAAAGATGAGAGAAGATTGTATAAGTTTTGGGGCGACACACATGTTATATATATGTATGTATATATAGTTTATATGAATAAACAATGTTCTTGAAATTCAAACAAGAAATGTTCTTAGGATTTACTGTAGTTGAGAAAATAAATATTCAATATTCACATACATCAAATTTAGAATTAACAATAAAAATAAAGTTTAAAAATTTTACAGACAAAAGAAACAATATGCTGAGTTTTGGCAGTTGTTTACAACAGGCAAACAGGTCTCCAAAGCAGCTGGCAATGATATTGCCTCATGCAATCTTTTGAGCAGCTGAAAAATCTTAATGCTTTCTACAGGCTTTGGAAATGTTTTAAACAGAGATTCATTTTCAATTTTCCTTTTA